CGGGGGTTGATAACCGTGGCTTTGAGACTGAGGTTACGCCATTGAAGCGTGAACTTTGGGGTCTCTGAAACAAACGAAGTGTCGAGATCGGGTTTGGGAGTCTCGATCTGGACAAAGTGATCTGGAACTGCTTGGTCTTGATCGAGTGTAGACATCCTTGCAGCCCGTGATCTTGATCAGAAGTGGAGGAATGCGCGGCGGACTGGAATTTGCGTTGTGAATCTAATCCAATGGTGGTGGTTTCTTACGCCACGCACGGCTCGAGTTGCGTCCACACGATAAGATAGTTGCGTAGCGTCCGTGAAAAAAAATAGAAAAGGTGTTGACCTCTTTTCTATTTTTGTTAGCAATGCAACCAGTTTCGACCAATCGAAAGCTTCAATTGGTCGAGGATGTTGAAGTGGGCATCATTCTCGTACAAAAGGTGGACGATTACTCCGAGCGACAAACACTCTCGAAAAGGTTGAATCATTTCAATATAACTGTAGCCATGTATTAACTATTAAAAGACCTTAGGCCTTACTTCTGACTGTGTAAATTGAGCCACAGTCCGAGGAATCCTACAGCTCGGAACCCCAAGTTGATAGCAATGAGGATAGCACCGTCAACCACCGCCGAGCGCCCCTCCATGCTGTAGTTCTTGAGCACTTCATCCCCAGTCAACGCGGTGCAGTTCTCAACGTCAGCTTCGCAGGAGATAGACGACACTTGGCGCCAAAAGATCTTCATAAGTGCCTCGAAGCCATATTTAATCGGTGATATGTATTGCACCCATACGAAGTAGTCAGGGCAGTCGTCCGAGTTGATTAACAGTCCTCCGAATAGCAAAAACGGCAGGATAATCACCACCCCGATGATCGGAGCGATATCCACTCGACGACTTAGACACGAGACCATGTAGCCAAGCCCAACTGCGCAACTGTTGACGAGAATCATTATGATCTGCATGTAGATGAACACGTCGAAGCCGTGACCGATGCCCATGAGGAAATATACTGGGACGAAGAAGAGGATCGGAAGTAGAATTTGCATGGGGAATTCGCTCACATTCTTGGAGAAATACCAAGAGAAGAGGTGATACAGGCCAGCTTTGTACTCTCGGATGATGATTGGCAGCTCCATAGGAACGGAAATGAAGACAGGGTTAGCCGAAGCGAAAGTCTGGTTAACGACCAGGAAGAAGAAGCCACCCGTAAAGTTCTGAATACCATCCTGATCCAGATCGAGTTGCAGGAAGATAAGTCCAACAACCAGAGAAACGAAAAGCGTCTGGAAAATGGCAGCGTGGAAGGCAAATCGATCGCGGACAAAGCGGATGACATTGCGTTGCACAAGAACTGCGATCTGGCCTATCCATTCCAAACGAGAGTCTTCGAAATGGCCGTCACTCTCTCTTGCATGGAAATCTTCGTGGTCGATTTGAGGAAGTGTCTGGTGTTTCAGCCACTCGACTTTAAGACCTTCCACTCGAGCGACACCAGCTTCGTCGGTCGCTTTATCCATAACTACAAGTTGCCGCATGAAATAGTCCGTCGGGTTCATTAGAGAGGGACATGGATACCCCATTGAGGCGAAATAGTCCACAGATTCAGAGGCTTTTCCATGGTAGACAGCAGCACCGTCTGAGAGCAAGTATAGCTGATCGAATAGTGCAAAAAGATCTGATGAAGGTTGATGGATCGTTGCAATCACGGTACGACCGTCTCGAGCGATCTGCTGCAGTTGTTCGGTCACGGTCTCCGCCATGAAGCTGTCCAGACCCGACGTCGGCTCGTCCACGAACAAGATCGACGGGTTGGTCAAGATCTCCGTGGCGAACGACAGACGCTTCCTCTCACCTCCAG